ATGTTGTTTTCTAGTTTCTTTAGTCTTTTGTTCTTGTAGCTTTATGTTTTGTTTAGCCTTTGTGAGGGACTGACCCTCTTTCCTCTTAGCTGCTGTTAGTCAGTTAAGTTTTGTGCCTGAGTGCACTCTTATTTGTACATACTCTTCTGAGTTTTATATATTATTTCCGTTTCGTCAAAAAAAAAAAAAAGTAAAAACGGGCCTATAATTCTTAATTCAGCTTTGTTTGACCTAAAACCGGAATAGAACTTTCCAGAGAAAAAGGGCCCCAAACATTTCTCTTCATTAGGCCTTTTGCAGTATTTCGCATTTTCAGGAACTTCTGAATCTCGCCGGAGCTTTCGAATCTTGTCGGAAACCGATTGCCTCTCGCGTTCTCCGTTACCTCGTCTTCTCCATATCAATCCATCCCCCGCCACCACTCCCTGAATCTCCCAACATTCATTGAACAACCCAATAATTTGCTCGTGCATTTGATCTGTGGTGAATTTACGAGAATGGAGGCGGCGGCAGGTGCGGCGGCTGAAAAATCATCGGATGCATCTTCGTATAGGTATTGGGTCCGAGAGGCGACCCGGGACGCCGCGCCTCTGCCCGTGCCTAAGAAGATTGACCCGGTGGGGGTTCACAATCCATCCACCCAAACACACCTTGGATCCGCATGGAATCAGGTAATGTGCTTGGGAAACAATCGAACTGATTCAATTACTAATCATTTTAATTTGTTGCCCCTTTTTTTTTTCCTGGTTTGATTTTGAGTCTATAAGGCAAATAAAAGCCGTACGAGCTGTTGAATCTTCGTCTTTTCTTTTTTATTTGGTTTGATTTGTTGATTTAGAGGTTATGTTAGTTCGGTCAGATTTGGGATGGATTGTGCAGTGATAAAGAAAAGTGAAAATGAAATTAGGCTTCTTGTGAAGCTGACAGTGTTTTTGTGAAAAAGTTAATGTGTTTTCATGGGAGGATGGATATGAACGACAAAATCTTATAGACAAAGTTGATAGGAATTGTAACCAAAACTATTATATTTGTTTGATTGCTATTAGATGTTGATGGACCTTGGACGTTCTTTCATTTGATTGCTTTTGCGTGCATTGCTCATTGATTCACGCCACAGGCCCACAACCTATATTATCTCAACTGATGTCGATTGTCGACCATGCCATTGCCATCAACTACAGATGTATCAGTTTGAGACGTTATAGATAGTTCAATGGGCCTCTGGTTAAGTTTCATGCTTATTGTCCAGTGCTGGTGTTCCTGTGCTCACTACCTTGTCCGGTTTCAGTTGCAGTGGCTTTGGATAGTTGGAAGAACTTAGCATGAGCTCTTCAACAATAACTAGGATGTGGGGTCCGTGTGTATACAACTATACATGTCTCCATTCTAGATTAAATTCCATTTGAATTATTGGGAGAGATTTTGATTTTTCCATTTTTTGTGAGCGAGGGAGAGAGATATCAGAAACATATGCAGTTTTGCCAAAAGGTTATGTGGCTTAAAGTGACAGGATTATAGAACATTCCTATATTTTTTGGTATATCATGTGCTACTGCCGATTTCTATTTAGTCTCTTCTTGTGACTCTTTTGAATGAGTGTGTTTGTCTGTGCATTTGCGACTGTTCTTGTTCCAGTTGGCTGATGCATTATTTTTGGTGCTTTTAAAATGCTTAAAATTCTTGAAAGTATTGACTAGTTTTCTATATGTTATACTTTAGATCCCAGAAGCTTTCAATTGATTGCTAATGGTTATGATTGGTTGTAAATTTACAATCTCCTTTTGTTTTTCCTTGCTCCTTAGATTAGTTTACTGTTTGCAGGCTGGAACATGGGAGGAGAAAAATCTGAATAAATGGGCAAGTGATAGAATCAAGGTTTGGGCCTCCAGACATTATAAACCCTTTCATTTCTGTGTATTAGTGATATCAGCTCTATCTCAAAATTTATTACACTATGTGGTGGCATTAACTGTATGGAAAAAGTAAGTAATTTTATGTATTTTCGAGCATTTTTTGCAGGAATTGCTAGTGTCTATGGGCTTCCTTGAGTTCTCTGGTGGCAGGGCAAAAGTAGAAGAAGTGACTAGATGCGTCGGTGATGTGAGTGACTGTTAATATTTTGTTACATGGCAAAGATAGATCTTTGTTAAGAATATTCTGGGTATCTGTTTCCTAAATTATAATTATTGTTATTGGACATTCTAGGGAAAAAATAAAAGAAAATTATTAAAGAAATATGGATACCTAAAATCTTTGCTCTGCAGACTTCTCATTATTTCAGACAACGGTCTCTGTATCAGAGCTACAGTAAATTTTCCTTTTGAATTAGGAAATATTAAATTAGGTACTTTCAGAATTTGGATAAAATAGTATATAGATTATTCTATTTTGAATTGCCCGTCGTTTCATTCTATATTGTTGACCATGTGCCAAATCTCACGAAAAGTCTGTTGCGCCGGAATTTTTCCGTTCTTCTTTGTCGATATTTAGATGTTAGATGTATTTCATGCAGATAGAGTGTCACGAGAGAGATTTATGTATGTAGTGTGCTCATGCCCAAGGGTTTGAGAACTATCTTACTTTAACTGGACCAACACTGGCAGATTTTGCTACTCCAGTTAAGACTACAGATATAGAAGATGGTGTGGACGAAAATAGTATTCTAGAGACTATTAAATGGAAAGAGAAAGAAAGTAGAAAATGGTGCCAACAGAAATGTTATTCTAGTGACTTCATGGCGATGTATTTGGCTGAATTAATATTTATAGTACTTTTAGTATCTTTCTTTTCTAATCGTTGATTTTTTTTTTCTTAATTATTATTATTATTATTATTATTATTCTCTCAGTGACTTCTCAAATAGTGTTTCAATGTATCTTGCAGGCGTTCTTGGTCACGGTGCGAAACAAAAAGCGCGTAGGCTACACTTATGAGTTAACTCTAAAGGTTAAAGGTAAAAACATAATTTTCTCAGGACTGCTGCCACTATTTGTTCTGTTTATCTCGGTTCCTCCTATATTTTATATGATCATTTACGTTCTTTAATGACAATATTATAAAACTCAGGGGAATGGCTAATTGGAGAGGAGAAGAAGAAAGTGAAAGGCCACATAGATGTACCAGAGTTCACATTTGGTGAGCTGGATGACTTACAGGTATGTCATTATCTATTTTCTTAATAATTTGTATCAAGAAAACCAAACGGTCATCGTCCAATTGTTAGTAGTTTGTTCCAGAAAAAAGTCACAAATCTTGATAGGGCAATGCATGTTAAAACTGAAATTGTTAGTGAAATGTAGCTTAATTACACAATCATTCAAAATTGCTTGCTAATTACCGTGTGGCATGTGTATGTTCAGGAGCACTCTGTTGAAGGAGTGATTTATATAAGATGTATATAAATTTGTTGACACCTTAGTTGGCATTTGAAACTTTAAAGGATAACTATATTTTTCTGCATTATAGCTGACCGCTATGTGAATATACTCGTTTGTGGTATATATGGTTTTCGTTCCTACTTAGCCTTCGGAAGTTTGATTTTTTCCTTGGCGTGAAACTTTGTTCCTTTTATTTTTGCAGATTGAAGTAAAACTCAGTGAGGATAAGGATCTTCCAGCAAACGAGAGGCAGCGGATCAGCCATGACTTGAAATTATTTTTGAAGCCTCTTAAGGAAATATTACTACAGTTTGAGGAGGAACTCAAAGCACGGTAGTGACCAGTAATGTGTGTTCCATTCTGTCGTATGGATTGGAATTCACTGTCTTGCGTCGTGAATTGCAGACCAAATTAATCGCGATTATATGTTGTAGTATTGAACTAGAATATTCAATGGGACTATTTGTGTTGTAGTATTGAACTAGAACACTCATCAGTGGACTATTTGTTCACCGTACACTTTCAGCCTTAAGGTTCTTTCAGATTTCTTGTGATGGACAATGGAATTTGAGATTACGTTTTTAACCGCTTTGTTCTTGCAAATGTCTAATGGATGAAGAGCAAGAATTACTTGTCAGTTCTTGCAAATGTCTAATGAATGAAGAGCAAGAATTACTTGTCACCATAGTTTTTAAATTCGGGCCCGTAATTGACCCGGGCAGGCTTCTGGCCACTAGTTTAACCGTCAGGTCACCGGGTCAATTGTTGAACCGGATAATTAATTTTAAAAATTTTAAAATTATATATAGAGTATTTTTGTCATATAAATATACATAAAAGAAACAAAATTAAATGTTTTGTGTATAAAATTTGTACATTAAAGTGTTAATAATATGTATTTCGTGATAAATATTTAATATATAAACATATATACATAGTTTTATTTTTAAAAAACAAAAAGAAAATTAAAAATATATATATATATATATATATATATATATATATATATATATATGGGCCGAGTCAACCCCGACCGGGTTCAATGCCTCCGGTCGGCCGGGTCAAATGGGTCAGCCGGGTTTTGACCGGGTCAGGTTGGGTCCTTGTTGCCCGGTCAAAATAGCCCAATCAGACTGGTTTCAGCTCCGAGTCGACCAGGCCCTGGCTCAACCCGCCGGGCCGGTCCGGGTCAAAAAACTATGCTTGTCACCACTATTTCTGTTCCTGCAAATGGCCAACACATGAGACGAATTATCTATATAAATGTTACAAATGCTGAAGTTCATTGAATATGAAAAAAAAAAAAAAAAAAAAAAATGACACGAAGTTAAATATTATACTCTTATTTATGTCACTTTTGTAAAAAATAAAAAATAAAAAAATAAAAATGTCATTTAATCATGATATTACATTTATCCAAGTTGATTGTTTAAAAACACCATTCGATCATAAAAAAAAATATGTATTTATTCAAAAAATACAATTGCATAACTGTCTCAAATAGAACTACTATAAGGAGAAGCACGTTTGTCAACTGTAAAGAACTTCAAATTTTATGGAATGAAATAAAATGCATACCCAAATAAATAAATTTACTTTTTCCTCGTACAATTGCATCATCTGCCCATATTTTTCCAAACAGGAAAAACTACAAAAAAGTGAAATGGAGAATGATGAAAAAAAAATTAAAGAAAAGAAAACCTACAACCTTAATCTCTCCGGATATGTGATGACTGATAAAACCATCAACTGCCACTAAAATCAAGAAGTCACTCAAGCAAGCACCAAGCAGCAAGTTTTTCCCAGGCTACATGTTACCCTCCATGAAATATTTGCTTATTTCCTAATCCTTTTTCTAGCCCCGGGCACGTTCCTTTCCCTTACCGTCTTTCTTCAGTTTTCCACTTACAGCAGCCTTAGTCTTGGCCCACTCTTTCATGGAGGCATCACTTCTCATAAAAGGACACGTCTCGCTTATGACTATCTCTGGCACAGCTCGACTACACTGTAACGGGTTACTACTAACGTGCTCTGGAACAGAAGCCTCATCCTTCTCTTCCACTGTTGACTTTGACTCAAAATCCATTTTTTCACCGTCTAAACCAGTAGGGTTCGGCTCCTCGGTCAAAAAATCCACAGTTTGATTTCTGGGCGTGCCGTGAGACTGAAAGCCCTCGTTAGCTCCTCCATGGCATTTTCCACTGTCTTCAATTCCAATCCTCGAATTTGAAAATTCATCGTTACCTGATTTTAGGATCTCCGGTTTTTCAAAATTCGCTCCGGGTAAGATTTGTGAGATATTGAATGCGCTTTTATTTGTGTCCGCAATCAATTGTAACCAGGATGACTTTTGCCGCCAGAAAGGACCCCTGGCATATTTATCCTCAGACCCACTCGGCTTTGCCAATCGAGCATCAGTGAGTTCTGACATATCTTTATCATCTTCATTTGATTGGTCTTCATGACCAAGATCTCCATTTGAGTGGGGTGCTGGGGGCAGAGGATCGGATCTTGGTTCAGGTTCAGGTTCAGGTTCGGGATTAGGGTTCGACAAAATGTCTGAGATGCAGAAAGCAGTACTTTCCTTGTTGCTCGTCAGGTCTCTCCATGCTGACTTGTGTGGATGTGGGACATCGGAAGTTAATTGCATTGAAGCAGATTTTGTTTCTTTTGGCTTTGTGTTTACACTGATTGGATTATCTGTGCTGCCGAGTGGACCCCCTTTCTTTGACTTCTTTTTAGAAGGTGTAATATCATGTAGGTGTTGCTTTCTCTTCTTGTCAGGATGAGGTTTTTCCTTATTACTGCTTCCAGGTTTTGTGGAAGTAACTTTACTTGAAGATTCGAACTCTTTTGACAGGGAATTCTGGTTATGAACAGGAAAAAAGAATAGTCAGCACTTGCACCTTGTGCAAAACTGCATGAGAGACAATATCACAAACTACCTATGACATTTGACCTGATAACATAAGAACCGGATTATATTCACAATCAACCCCATTAAACTTCGTGTTCAACAAATAACCCCCTATAAACCCATTGAGGCTTCGGTATCGTGATATATTAACAACTATCAAGGCAGCTTTCCGAAATTCAAAGATAGCTGGATTTTTTTTTTAGGTTAAATCTCTAGGGTGGTTTTTTAAAAATAAAATATAATGATGCAATGCTTTTCCTGTACCTGATTGGCAGTAGTTGTTTTCTGGCCCCAATCCTCAAATGAAGCGACCCTCTTTTTACTTGGTCGGCCCACAATGTTAATTACAATATTGTCCTCATCACTCTCTTGCTCTTCCTCATCAACACTATCATCAGGCAAATTATCATCAGCAAAATCGGTGTTCTTGTTTATCACCTTACAGGGTTTAGCTTCATTAAGATCTGACTTTGAGTTGTCCTCATCCTCCAAAAGCTTGCCCAATATTGATTTCATCATGTTGAGCTCGTCCTCATTCACCCCATAAGCGTCCATCTCATGTTTATCATCAATATTTCTCGTCTCGTGATGATCTACAGTATTTCTTTTTGCTAATTTGAGAGGCCCGCAATGCTCCTCACAATCACAAAAGTGGATGGGAAGCGGAGGAACTTCTACACGTTGAAAACTGTACTTGTGCTTGCCCGTTCCTTTTAGAGGTATAGATTTTATCTGTCGTGAAAAAAAAAATAAAAAAAATAAAAAAATAAATATAAAAATTGATGGTGGTACTTACATCAGCATATTATCATCACATGTAACGAAGCACAGAAGTAGGTATGAAAATTCTTTCGCAAAAAATCTCGTCCAAAATAAATCTTTGAGATGAAATCTGACTCCTTTAAAAAATAGTGCACGGTCTAAAAAGAAAAGCTAAAAAACTTAGTGCAAACAGCACATATGTGATTGTGTTCAGCCAAATTACCTTCCTCAGTTTGGGGAAAAATATATTGAGCTGCAACTTGTTAATATCTTGGTCCACTTTGGGATTTTTCGGTGCAGGAATGCTGTCATTCTCAATCTGGTTAGAAGATTTCATTTCAAGCTCCGCATCTTCAGTCCATTCACGTCTTAATCGAGAAAGATAGTCTTCTCTGGCCTTCTCAAGTTTGAGCCTCCCCCCTTTCCACATGCACCCATTATACTGTATCATAATACAATCAAAGATCAAACGTAGGAACTTTGTACACATTAAGCTCAAAAGAACATGAAAACTGTCAATGCAATAATAGTAAAGGATATTAGAGGACTTAAATGAGATCACCCAACTCAGATAACAGAACTCATTTTTCTACTTTCCAAGAAAAAACCATGTTGTTCGGCCTGCTCAGACCAGTGACCAAGATGTTTTTCCTCCTCCAACAACAATAACAGATCTCAATACTGATAAACCTCAACGAGGCCAAGCAAGAAGCCCTCGTCTCGAATTCATGTGAGCACCAACCTTAACTTCCTCTAAATGCTTCACTTGTTTCAAATCTATTCAACTTTTGACAGCAAATAGCCACGTACTCAATTGAAATGAATCTTTACACTGAGATACACTTATTTTTCCAGTCATTAACTCGGTTTTGAGCGCCTAATCCATCTCACGTCACGATTTATATAATTCTGAATCATACTGGAGACAAGCTGCCTAAGAAAACCCCAAACTACATCTTAAAAATCAACCCAAAAAAAAAAAAAAAAAAGAAAAAGAAAAGTAAGATGCACACACAGGCTATCAAATGGATCTTCTTTCCCACAAACAGATAAAAAAGTTCATTTACAATGCAAATGCAGAGACCCCATCACAATTTAGTTGCAGTCTTGCTCCTAAAGGTTCAATATTTTCTTTCTAGAGCTATAAACGATGTCACTACACAGTCTACACTGTACTTTCACGCTTTCTACATAATTGCAACCTTACAAACCACGCAATCACAAATCAACCCTATCATATAACAGAGCATATACAGAGAGAGAGAGAGAGAGAGAGAGAGAGAGACCGTGCTGAAGAGCTTGGCCAGGCCTTTGTCGGAGGCGGGTGCATACTCCAAGTACCCGAAGCTCCGGCCTTTGGAGCGAATAATCTCAACGGACTGAACAGAACCGAGCTGCGGCGAGGTGAATGTCTTCTTCAGATCATCTTCTTGCACGCTCAATCCCAAACCTCCGATGTATATCCTCATCTTCTCCCCCAAATTCCCTTCAAATTAATTGCAATGCCAGAAAAAATGGAAGTTGCTACAGTTTCTTTGCTCTTTCTATTTCATTCTTCTCGCTCTTGGTCCAAACCCTAAAACCTCCTCCATGTCTAGATTCTGCAGTCAATCTTGTTTTTATTTTTGTAAATAAAACATATGGATCTTGTAAATTTTATTGTTAATAATATAAATATGTTATAAACAAGTGGTGGAATTTTACCACTATTCAATTTTATCTTTGTATTATTTTATTAAGTGTGTGTTGAAATGTGTGCCAATTTTGGCTATAAATAGGCAAGAGATGTAATGAGATTTTTGGTACGGAAAAGTGAAGAAAGAAAGCAGATTATAATTGTTCCGGTTTTTATACATTGTGTTCTTTATATTCCTCGCATTTTATAACACGTTATCAGCACGAACGCTCTACTCGGTCAAGAAAGGTAGGATATATATACATATTATCATTATTCTTGACAAGTTAGGCTCTGCCACAGTCAAGGATATATATACATATTGCTATTATTTTTGACAAGTTAGGCTCTGCCACAGTCAAAAATATATATATATATTACTATTATTCTTGACAAGTTAGGCTCTGCCACAGTCAAGATATGTATACTAAATATGATATTATATACACATTACCATTATTATTGGCAAATTAGGCTATGCCATAGCCAATAATATGTGGTGATATGATATTATTAAATTTGCTTATGAAGTATTATTCAAGTTATAATAAATGTTATTATTTATACTTAACACCCACAAAAATGGTTTACCCAGTAATGTGGCGTGGAATATATAACTGTTTATTCTTGTACCCACCGTAAAATTTATCAAATAATGTGGAGCATTTTTTTTACTTGTTTTGTTATATTCGCGAAAATGTTCATCAAATAATTCGGAAAAATCTTTAAGGTAATATAAATGACTAATTAGCAAATATTATATCATTAAATTTGATTTCAACGGCTACTTAACGGCTATATTGCAACGGATATTTACCAATATCTATATATAACACTACAATTCATTTTCATAATACAAACACTCAAAATATATTGTTTTAAGAAAAAAAAAAATAAATAAATAAAAAAAAAAATGTTTGATCCATTACTTATAATTACCATTATCTTGTTTATTATATATGTTTTCCTAGTTTTCAAAATGATGTATCGTACTGTTGGATTTAAATTTTATGTATTAGGCCTTTGTATAATGTGTTTAGTATTTGCTCTTATGTACGTATTGAAGAATTAATGATTGTATATGTAATTTTTCGAATCTAAGCTTTGATGTTTTATTTTATAGTTATCATGGCAAATCTGGTCAAACTTGAATTCGAATCTCTCGATATCTCTGGGAAAAATTATATAGCATGGACATTGGATGCTGAAATACATTTGGCGGCAAGGGGATTGGAAAAAACAATAATATCCCCAAATGATTC